CACATTCTTGCAAGCTTCAACAACATCAGTAGTAGCAACAACACCTATTGCATTTATAAGCAAAACCAATACTATGAGATGTCACAGAAGAAAACTCATCATGTTAAAAGGGCCAACTATATTTGTGGTGATTAAAAAGGTACTGGTACTAATGATACAGAATTATTCTATCATCTGCTATAGAACTATAGTTTCATACACTTTTTAAAGTGATATATAAATGTTTGCTTCTAATTCCTGTCAAATGTTTTAAAACAGACTATAATGTAAGAATTGTACTTAGGTTAGCATTAACTTTGAAAACATGCCTTTAAGAAGTGGAAAAGCTGCATCAACCAGCTCCATCTTCACCCCTTTCAAGGCCTCTGCTGCTGGTTCAATATCAAGCATGTGCAGAATCACAGGCTGATCTGGGCCCAGCATTGCCCCTCTTGCAATCATTGGAACAAGTGCATATCCAATTTGCCCTGTTATTCAAATGACAATGCTAAAATAAGTGTTTTAAAAAGGGTTGTCTAAAACTCTGTCAAAGCTATGCTGATAGAAAACACATCACAGAAAAATTTGAGAAATGAAAAGACTAAATCAATCATGCCTGCAGCACCAGTGACCAATACTGTGATTGGTTCCTTCTCTTCCTTGAGAAGACCAAACATGTATCTGACAATCTTCAAAAACAAAATAACACAAAGCAAAACAAGAAGAATTTTCTTAAGAAATGTATAATCCTGAGTGTCCCATGCTAAAATTTCCAATGCCATGATCGGTTTGTGTTTGTGTTAATGTCCAATCCAAGGGGCACAAAGACAATCTCCTTCATTACCCTTTTATACAATGTAACATAAATTTAAAAGTGAAGAATCCATGCACATGTGACATTCCTATGTAGCAAGACAATCATATACCATAACTGAGTCCACAAGAAATGAAAGTGCAACAGAATCAATCGTCATCACCTTAGCAGCAAAGAAAAGAACATTTTTCAAAGTTTGATCCATAAGATAAACATTATAATATTTTCACATGTCACATTTTTCTTAGATGGCAAACCAGCAAATAATAGATTCTATTCAAGTAAGAAAATTGGTTTTGAAATTACCAGCAGCTCCAGTGACAAGAACTCTAACTGGATCAGTGGCCACCATTATGATTTGGAGTTAGATTTTGGAGTTAGATTCTAGAAAGAAAGAAATGGAGACTTCACAGTGGCAGAATAGAAAATTGATTGAGTATATATAAGTGAAAAAAAAGGTCACAAAAAATGAAAGAAAAATAGATAAATAAAAGTTAGTCAGTAGATTAATACTGAAACAGTTAGAGGAATTAGCAATTTTGTAAGGAAAGAAAAGAAAAAGTCTTTATTTTTTTTTTATACATGTGATATTGATGATCTAAAGAAAAAGTACATGGATAAATGACTAACTTTCCCACCAAAAGGTCAAGCTCTTTAATGACTATAGAGATAATAAATAAATGTATAAAGTATATATATGTGTGTTTTTTAAGATATTTAATTTTTTAATTTTTTTTTATCTTTTAATTTTATAGGCATAGCTATTGATTTTTAGGCTATCTAGATAACTTTTTTCTTTTGTAAAACAATGTCTTCATTATTTGAAGTATATAAATCAAGAAGGATACAAACATTTGTATTCATAATTATTTAAGGATTAAAATAATCTTTTGGTATCTATAAAAAGAATACCATACTGAAACTGTTTCCCCCCCTAAATTTCAGTGTTCTATTCTCAACATTATTGAATAAACAAATTTAGTCATGGTATTAACTTTTTGCTTTTTGAATAAACTGTATATTTTTAAAAAAATATTTTAGTAATATTTTTTAATATAGTAATATTTATATTTTTAGGTTATGTTTATTTATTTATATATTCATATTTTACTTTCAGTAATTGCGACATATACCATGTATATAATGTGAGCATGTTATTTTAAGTTTAATTTTAATTTTTAATTAATTCTGTTTCTATTAGATTAGATAAAAAAATACGGATTTTTTTTTAAATAATACGGGCGTTAAGTATTTTAATGCAAATCCGATGTTCTGGTTTGACAAAGATTATTGACTTCTTTTCCACTGTGTATTAAAATACGATACATATTTTGTAGTGTGATATAAAGTTATTTTTAGTTGTTGATATTTAAAAAACGAATCCACGTAAAAATAAAGAACAAAACTATACTCCGAAAGGTATAAAATATATATATAAAAAAAATCCGAATACACATGGTTGATGTTTTCATCTTTTATGTTGTATATACATCATAGATTCTTCTTCAATAATAATAAAAATTGAAAACTATTCCACTAAGAAAAGAAATTTTAAAATTTAATGAAATTGAGAAACCGAAATTAATAAAATATATATGTAGTAATATATATATATATATATATATATCTTGTAACATGTTACTACCAAGTGTGTTAAATTAATCTTTTTATAATAAACCAGTTTTATTTGGATTAAATTCTCATATTATAAAAAAACTCAATAATTAGATAGGTTAGTTATTATTTATAATTTTATTTATATTATATTGTTATTGTTCTTCCTGATAAATAGTATTCTAATAATAAAATTTATATCTATTCTATGTCATTCTTATAAATACAATTAGTATCTTTTAAGGATATTCATTTCATAATCACTCTCACATAAAACATTCTAACTTTTTTATTGACTTGTATTAAAAAGTTTTTATTGGGGATCATTTTTTTTCATCAACAAGGAATCTTTAGTCATATAAAAGAAGCAATCAAAACACCGTTAGGATTTTGCCACTCATTCCAGAGTCCACGTGCAAGATCCGGATAAGATCATTGTTGTCCGAGGACTTTTCCATCTCCACGACAACTACCAACATTGCCATTTCAACCCAACATATGCGCGACGCCCTCAGGCAAGCAAGAAAACCTTATTCAAAGTGACGCCCAACATGAGACCCATCCCACAACATGATCAACTTGGCCAGTGTTGCCAGATCACCAAAGTTGTTCACGACCATGACACCTTAGACTTGGACCCCAGGTTTGGGTTCCCCAAATGATGCCCGACCTTATGAGCCCATGTAGCCTTGCTCCTTGGGAACCTCTCCCTCTCAAGTCACCAAGGTTGGCTAAAACATGATCCAACAAGTCAACAAGCAAATTATAGAAGTCCTCCAACAAAACAAAGACTTATTCGCCTAGCACCCGGGCGACATGTCAAGCATTGATCTAGCCTTTCTAAGCCATCACTTCTCCATACTCCCCCAAGCAAATCCTATGTCCCAAAGAAAGCGAAAGCTCGAAGAAGAGCGCTGAGTTGTCGTCCATAAGAAAGTAATAGCACTTTGTGAAGTCGAATTCATTAGGGAGGTAACCTACACGATGCGGTTTGCCAATGTTGTCTTGATGAAAAAGGCCAATGACAAATGGCGTATGTGTGTCGATTACATAGGCCTCAACAAGGCATGTCCAAAGGACACATATCCCCTTCCTAATATTGACAGGTTTGTGGACAACACAACAGGGTACAAATACTAAGCTTCTTAAATGCTTATTCGGGCTATAATCATATTCGAATGTACTCGGTAAAAGCAACCTTCATGACTAAGGGGCCAACTTTTGCTACAAGGTTATATGCACTTCGAATTGAGAAATTGAGGGACAACCTATCAACGACTAACGAATAAGGTGTTATATAAGCTCATAAGAAATATAATGGAAGTTTACGTAGATGACATGCTCATCAAATCTGCCACTACAGCTGACCACCCCACACACTTACAAATAGTTTCTGACAAAATGTGACGCCACAACACAAGGTTGAACCCAAAAAAAATTTTCTCTGGTGTCAACGACATAAAGTTCCCAGACTTCATGATATCCCCACAAGGGATAAAAGTCAACCAAGACAAGTGCGAAGCCATACTCGACATTAGAAGTCCGACCAACTTGAAAGAAGTCCAAAGCTTGAACGGTAAGCTAGTTGCCCTGACTCGTTTCTTGCCATGTCAGACACAAAAGACTAAGCCCAAGCACAAAATCCTAAAAGGAGCTCAAACTTACTGCTAGAACGAAGAGTATGAGACCACATTCCAACAATTAAAGAGAGAGATCTCAATACTTCCTTTCCTTAACAGTCCTCGGCATGTCAACCCTTGGTCCTATATTTAGTCGTATCCTTCTCAATAGTGAGCTCGGTTTTAGTGATGGAAGAAAGTCAAAAGTAATACCCAGTATATTTTACTATTGTACTCTTCAACCTGCCAAAGAACGCTACTAAACAATAGAGAAGTTTCTCCTAGCTTTAGTATTTTCCATGCGACGACTGCGCTATTACTTTTGTAGTTTCAATATATGCATATGCAGTGACTACCCTTTTAAGAAAATTCTGCAGAGGCCCGAGTTGGCCGGACGCATGATGATGGAGCTTCCGAATTCGAACTGACCTATCAGACCAAACGACCAATGAAATCACAATTCTTGATGGACTTCCTCATCAAACTCCTAACTAAAGAAGAAGAGCTCGCTCAATGGCTTCTTAGTGTTGACTACTCTTCTAATAAAAGGACAATGAAATAGGAATCATTCCAGAAAGACATAAGACATCGCCCTAAAATAAGCCATTACATTAAATTTCAACGCTCGAGTACGAACCTTAATTATCTATTAGACCAAGTAAAAATAATTTACAAAATAAATAAAAACTATCTATAAAAGTCATCTACTAAGTAAAGAAAAATCATTTATAAAATAAATAAAAACTATATATAATTAAATCGTAAAATTTATTGATATTTATTTTTACAATTTTATAAAAAAAATAATACGCGCTTTTTCTAGTATAAATAAAACGATTCATAACTTTCTTTTAGATCATATTACATTAAAAAATAAATAATTTTATCATTTAATAATTTTGGTGAAGGAAAAATAACTTTCAATTTACAAATTCTAACATTGAAATACTTGCTTAAAGGATTTGAACCTTCTATTCGCACCAACCTTCGTTTCACAGTGACTTGGGAAAGAGAATAATACGATTGGTAATTTTATTTATAAACTCAAGCAAGGAATCTAGGGTTTCTCGTAAGAGGCACCGAAGAACATCAACACAGAAGGAACCTAAAGAGATTCTGATTCAGCGGCTGAGAGAAAGAAACAAGCGCAAGAAGAGAAAGCAAGGAAGAGTAACGTATGTATTTCATATATTAATTGTTTTGTTCAATGTTTTTTTTTGTATTAATTCCGGTATTTGATTTTCTAACTTCTTTCTTTCTGTGTTTTCTTAGGGTTTCTTTTAGGCTCTGCAAATTTCAATGGCGGATTTGGAGGGCGCAGAAGGTTACATGCCATCTGCAGAATACGTGGAAGACAGCAATGAAGCTCTCATTGACTTGACTGACTCAACAGAACTTTTGTTTCTTAAGTTGCCTTCTTCCAATGTGAGTTTTCCCTTTATGCCTTTGGTTTGTTTATTTGTTTTGAACTGAATCTGAACTACTTATGCCAACTAAGCGAAAAAGAAAAAGCACCAAGGATTGATATTGTTGTCATCACAATCATCACAAAAGTGAAAAATCAAGTGTAGTATCAAACAAATTTAAAAATAAAAACGGGTACATTGACTTCAGTTTTCAAACAACTAGGTTTCATTTTTTTATCAAGTCTCTCTACTAAGTGTAGTTTTTAATTGTGTTAGATTCTGCTTGGTGATTAAAAATTCCTTTCATGTTAATTTTTGTTGTGCTAGATCTCATTAAGGAGTGTCGAAAAATACATTTTTGTGTATTACTTCTATTCATTTGCTTATATTTTTGTCCTTATTTTATTATAGGAGACTCCTCAATTTTTGTATAGCTTTTTAAGGTTGCTTTCTATTCAAATGAGCTGGTATCTGTATTGGCGGGTGTTTCCTTCCATCTAGGAGTTAGATGGTGGAAGAGACCTGTTTGGTGTTGTCTTAGTTATTACCATTATTGTCTGCTTGATGTGTTTTTGATGTTGTCCAGGATTTTTTATCTGACATACATGGAAAGAAATTGTCTCTCACACTTCATAATGATGGTAAACTAGCCCACTTTGAGGGTTCATCAGGTAAACAAAATTAATCATCTGTGTCACCATCGACGTATGTTTTCAACTTCAATTTCTGCATAATTGATCTCTAACTTGGTGCTTTTCTTCTTTGTGTGTGTGTGTGTGTGTGTTGTAAATGAATGTGATTGCTTTCTGCAAGCGCCTTAATTTTCATTTTTTGTTGGCAGGTAAGGTATATGATTTTGTAAGCTTTTTTGCTCAGGAGCCAGACGAAACAGTTTTTGTTTCCTCTACAGAACCAAAAATTGGTAAGTATCCATAGATTTTGTTTTTTGTTTTTTGTTTAATGTCTTCTGTTACTGTTATATGAAGGATATCAACAAGAATTCTGAGAATTATTCTGGCTCACAAAAAGCAAGAGCTTTGTTGTTACTTTTATTTGATGTAGAATCTCAAGTTACAAGAACATGTAAGATGGGACCATGACTAATCTTTGTTCTTTGGTTATTTCAATGTAAGAATTATTTGAGAACTATCACAGCTCTCCAAGAGAGCTTTATTGTTAGTTACTATAACTTGAGGTAAAATCTCAAGTCATAAGAACATGTAAGATGGGGTAGTGCTTGGTTCTACGTCAAAAGTTGTCTGAGTAAATAGCCTTTACAATGGTGTTGGGTTGGATATACTTGCTGCAACATCCCTGAGTTAGTACCTCAAGTATATTTTTTTTCCCCTAATATAGTCATAGTTAATGAGTTGTGATAGTAAGAGTTCCGGTGTGTTTGTTTAACCTTCTAAAATAATAAAACTCTATGAAAATTCTCATTTTTTTTACAAGCAACTTTGAGTATCTTTTGAAAAACTTCTAGATTGGACCTTTATCTCTTCTATCAAATTGGCCAACCAGCCCATTCTCCAGCTCAACATACTCTAGTAATTTTCACGAATTTCAAGTCTGGTTTCTATCCTTGTGTGAACCATGAAACCTCAATTCATGTAACAGGAAGTTATATAGTAAGTACAGTACTAAATGATTTACATTGGACTTTGAACTATCAGTTTTCTCATTAGCTATGTTTCTTAGAAACTGTGAAATCAGGTGGATCTCACTCCCGTTTTTGTTCCCATCCCGCCTTCCCCCACCCTTTTTATATTGGATTGGATTTTTCCTTGCTGTATATGACTACTTTTCTTTGTCACTTTGTCTTACTAGACTCTGGTTCTTGTGAGTGTTTAATACCACTTTTTATTCTTATATATTTTTAATTTTGTAGCCTTTGAATTCAAGCATTGAGAGAAGTTATTTATTTTGCTTTACTGCAGCAAAGATTTCAATGCGGGTTTCAACCGTCCATTACCCTGATCCTAAAGAACTTGAGAACCTCGATTCAACCAAAGTAAGACATGCACATCGACATTCTTCTCGAATCACAGGGACAACTTCATCTCGATACTTTCCTATGCAAAGTGGTGGACGTGCAGCTTCATCAAAAGGTAGCAGACAGAAAAGCTCTTTGTCTGAATTTACTGAGCCATCAAGTATTTCAAAAAAAAGACACGAATCTAATTCTAAATCTAAATCTAAATACAACTTGTCTGAGGTCTCGCATGGTCACAGCAGTGGCATTTCCTCTATGTCCCCAGAAAATTCTCATGAAGGAAAACCAAAGAGAAGAAAACATACGGAATAATGTTTCCTATACTCGCCATTGGCCTTTTATAGTGTAATTTTTAAAATTAACATTCTTCCAGGCCAAACTATATAGGAAAGAATAGGGCAAGACTTTTATGTTGTAAAAGGACGATAAATTTACATTGTTTGTGTTTTCTGTGTTACCATTTTTCTCTATTTTTCAAGTTGTCATTGGCTTCAGTTGCACAATGTTCACTAATTGAAGGACCTTTCTTTTCTCATTTTTTTGTCCTATTTTTGTGTACTTGTTCAGTTGTGTTCTTCCTATGGTTGGATTGTTCTAGTCCTATTAATGTTTTGAAACCCTGCTGGCATCACATCGTTAGGGCCTTTGTTGTCAAAACTGGACTGAGAATGAAAGTTTGAAAAAAATTCTATTGTTTTTTACAAAGGAAGAAACAGGAGAGAAAATACATGGGAAGGGGTTAAAGAATAATGAAGGTAATATTGTAAAATAGAATTCAAGAATAACTAAGATAGAGTATATAAAATTGGTTTCAGGCACAATGAAGGTTGACATAGAATGTATTTTAGAAATTACGTTTCTGGAACTAATTTCCGAAATATAAAATAAAACAAAAAAGAGAAAGAATGTCAACAGGGAAAAAGACGAGGTAAGAACTGGGGTAGCCGAATTGATTGAATTCATGAACCTGAAATTTAACTTAGGCATGGTAGAATTCTGCGTGGCTTTCTTTCAGACGTGGTAAGTGCATATTAGACTTGTAAAAATGGATGATTATTTCAGCTTTTAATAAAATTTAATTAATTATTTTTAAATAAAGCGTACCAATATTTGTATTTATTGAAAATGTAACATCATTTGAATAAGTAATATATTCATTATTTGCAATATAAACAACACATGTTAAAATAATTTATTAAAAAATGAAGGAAAAAGAAAAACAGACAGTGGAACAGAGTTGAGCAAAATAAAATGCATTGTCGTGAAGAACCACATAAGTGCCGTCGATGTTGCCAGCTTGAATGGTATGGTACGAATGTGTTTAGAATACTGAGCTTAAGTTTTTGGACCGAACACCCATTGCTCTTCGCTCTTCTTCACCACTAAAGGATTTTAGGCCAATATGCTCCAATTCACCTGTTTTTGTTTATGATCATGGATAAATTAAAGTTAATGGATCAAAATAACTCATTTATTTAGTTTTAATCTATAATAGTTTTAAAAGTATTGTGTTGCTTTACTTATTTGTTGAATGATGATGAATCTCTTCTGAGTGATACAATGTGCCTTGATCTTCAGGATTGGTCTATAAGTGAACAAAATTGAAGATCAAAAACCCTTTCTTTTCTTTTATTCAATTTACAGTGATAAACTTGGAAGATTTACCAGACAATGCAAGACTTTTAGAAGATACAATACAAACTGAAACTAAGATTGAGGGAAAAAGCTATGTTTTGTCAATATCATCAGCCTCCTGAACTCTTTCAGTATTCTGCAGTAACTGACGTGCTGTTTTTAGCTTGCCACACTTCTGAAACACCTGTTCAAAATTGTCTCTAGCATAAGCTGATAAAGGAATACCCTTTTCCAGCATTGATTTCACTTTCTCATAAGCAGCATCTAGTTCACCTCCTCTACACAACTTCTGCAACTTCTGGTTCTCCAATTTTCTATCCAATTTAACACAAAGATCCAACCGATCATGTTCTCTCAAAAGACTCTCCACTAAATTGTAAGTGTGAAAATTTGGAAGCAATCCCAAACCCAACATTTCAATCATCAAGTCATAAGCAACTTTCCAGTTCTTACCCTCACCATGACCATGGATCAGAGCAGTGTAGGTTAAATAATCAGGAAGGCATCTGTTCTTGTTCATGATTTCAAAGACCCTGGTAGCATCCTTTAACTTTCCCAATTTACACAGCATAGGTATAACAGAATTATAAACAACCAACTTTGGCTTTAAGCCACGACTCAACATCCTCCCAAACAAATCACTAGCTTCCTCCACTCTGTGACATTCGCACAATGCCTTTATAACAACAGAGTAACCCTCATGAGCACACCTCAGTTTCCTTTCCTCAACAATCCTCAAAACTCTAACAGCTTCTTCTGTATTACTCAAGCGACAAAGCTCACAGATAAGCTTAACCACAACAAAAGAACTAGGTAACAATCCAGCCTTACAAACTGCCCAAAACACTTGAACTGCAGGCTGCATTGCATCACTATTTCCTCCCATGTTAGGGACTAATATAGTATATGGTCTCCGAGTGTTCCTCACTCTCACTTTCTCGACAGATCCTTCTTTTGCACTAGTCAAACACAGTTCCCCAATAAGAATATTAACAGCAGATCGAGTAGGGAGCACTCCAATCTTTTCCATTTGATTAAAAATCTCAAGGGCCGACTCTACTCTACCAAACTTACAAAAACCAACAATCATGTTACTGCAGGAATAAGTATCAGGAGTATCAATCTTGTGAAAGATTGAAAGTGCAAGCTGAATCATCTCCAAAGATGATTCCCTCTTGCAAAGAACATAAAGCATGTTATTACACACAAGGTTATCAGGCTTACACTTGAACACAGTCTCCATATCCTCAAACAGTGACAGTGCTTCCTTAATTCTTCCTTGTCTCCCCAAAAACCTGATGCAAATGGCCAATGCCTTAGGCGACACTCCACCCTTGTGAAACGCCACTGTGGTCAGCAAACATTTGACGTCGTCAAAGAGCTTTCTTCTACCCAAGAAATCAGCCATGTACTCAACCACAGAATCATCAAAGTGAAACCCCATGTGGGTCCCCGCCAAGGAGAAAAATTTCAAGGTTTTGGCCCTACCCAGTTGCTTGTAGCCCCTCAAAACGCCCAGAACCAGGTTGGAGGTTAATTCTAGCTTGTGACGAGCCAAAACACCAGCCATGGCGCTGTCGTTGGCGCAAGAGACAAGGTCAGAGAGAAGAGAAGAAGGGTGAACGACATGAGAAGGAGGCGAATTGCTGCGTGGGATTGGGAAACTGGGGAGAGTTTGGGGAGACGAGGAATGGAGAAATCGTGAAGAAGCGTTGAAAACATGAACAGAGAAAACAGCTGCATTTCGAGGCCTGCAAAGCATTACAGTTTGAAAGACAAATGTTTTGGGTCTGCTTTTCTTCTTTCTTTCTTGGTTGGATTAAATTTCAGGTCGGAAAAACTGCAAATCAATCATTTCCATTTTCAAACCTTCCAACGCAGTTAACTCTCCCTAGAATCCTTTTTGAGTTGGTAAACTCGATCAAACTCTTGTAGTATAGAATCGGTTCAGCTAGCTCGGTTGAACACTAGAAGGAAAAAACGACAGCGGATTTGTTTTGTTTGTAGCGTCGTAGACATTGCATTTGTTTATTTCGGCATTCTCCAATGGCAGAAACAGAGCCTTATTCGTCTTCTTTCTCAGATTTTGCCTTCCCACATCCTCCTTTGAGTTTCTGGGTTAGGGATTAGGGTTTCTCTTTTCTTATATTCCATGTATGTAATATTATAAGTATAAAAGAATTATTTGAAATAATATAAATTAATTAATGATAATGTATCTTCTATAACTATTCTTTAACATTTTTTTCTATAGGTTTAATAGTCTTTTTTTTGTCCCAAATTTTTTTATTTTTTTGAAAAAGTCTCTGGTTTAAAAAAAGTGTTGTTCACGTGTCATTATTTAGATGTATGTTTATTGATGTGTGTTATGTAGTTGGAGGTTGAGGTGGATATTCAGAAATTGGGTGTTTAAAATTGGGGGAAAAACTTAGTTAGGTGTTAATTCTTGCTTCTTTCTTCCTTTCTCTTTACCAATTCAAATTCCTCCTTTCTTGGGAAAATCTTCACGCTCGTTTTCCTGGGATTTCTCGTTCCGCGTTCCTGTTAATCGTTTTCGCGATCGGAACCAAGGTTTCAATCTCTGTTCAATTCCCTTGCCTTTCCGTTTGCTCGTGAGTTCTCAATAGGTTAAGAAAAAACCCACTCAGGCCTTCGTTCTTTCATTTCCTTAGGGGCTTCATTGTTCGATTCAGGGTTTAATAAAATAAATTCACTCTCTCGCGGTTCGCAGAGCGTTTCAAGATTTAATACTCGGGCCATTGCCAGGATATATTGTGAATTTGGCTAAGCCTCGTGAGTTTGGGGTTTGGATTGCACAATTATTGGTGACGACGTTTCGATTTGAATGCAATTAGGGTTTCGAGGTGCACAAATTTGTTGATGTGAATGATTGCAGCGGCGTGATAGTTAAGCGGACGATGAAAGCCGAAGCGCCGAACTTGAAAAGATGTAAGATTGACGGTACCGAGAATGCTATTCAGAAGAAGCGTAGGGTGAACGGGTTGTTCTCGCTGGGAGTGTCGGGGGATGCTGAATATTTCAGCAGTGGTTCTGGTTCTTGGAGTAGTGAAGGATCGTATTGGGGCGATGGTGGTAAAGAACAGCTAACTGAGTTTTTCCCCAATTTTAAACACCCAATTTATGAATATCCACTCAACCTCCAATTACATAACACGTCACTAGGCATACATCTAAATAATGACACATGAACATTGTTTCTTGCCAAATCATCAATGCACTAACTCCGTTCGATTTTATTTAATGGAAGGGACGACGTTGACACAATATTTACCAACGCACGATCAACTTGACACTTTTTTTAACCAGGAACCTTTTTGAGAAAAATAAGTAAATTTGGGGACAAAAAAGGCTATTAAGCCTTTTATATACTTCCTTATTAATTTTCTTTATTTTTAATTTTTTTATTTTGTAATTATTTTTAAAATTTAATTAATTACTTATGATAAGAAATTTACTCATAATAAAATAATAAAAGTTATTTATTTTATAATTATCTTATATAAACAATTATAAATTTAATAAATATAGTTTTATTTTAATAATCTATTATATCTACTACTAGGTTTTTTATGGGTTATTTAAATTTGAATTTATTAATTAATATAATAAATTAATTGAACTGTGTTTAGATAAATGTTGAATTGTAGAAAATGATAAATAAATATAAAATGATAAAGTACTTTAATATCTATGAATTGTGTGTGAAGTATAGATCTTCAAGAATATTGTTTGTATAATAATTATATTTAGGTATAAATAAATAAATAATTTTAATAATTGAATGATTTTAATTATTAATTTTCTAATTCTTTCTCAATTAAAAAAATAATTTAAATTATAATTGAATGGATTATACACATAACAAAATAGATATCAATTTTAAAACAAACAACGTACATTTATTGCCAAAAAAAAATATATAGTTAAAAGTTTTTTTTCGTATTGTTTAATTAGTTATTAATACTTATTCTTAATAAAGTTTTTTTTAAAGGATGTTAAGATAAAATTATCTAAAAATATTAGGTTGTCTAGTAATTTGAAGTTTTGAAATTTAACGTTAATGAAATATTTCTTAGAAAGAACATGGTCTGGTAAAATATTAACTATGACTAATTGAGTATAGACAAGAAAGTCAAGGTGAAAAACAAATATAGACAAACTAACTCAAACTGAGAATATATCATGAGATGATTTGAACACTATTTAGAACCCCACAAATAAACATTTGATGAGAAGTGACACAAGAATAAGTATCTTGAAAAATATCGTCTAAGCCCGTACGAAACCTATTTAAAAAGGCAAAAGCATCTTATCAGTAGGAGAATCCTACAAAAACTTAGTAAGACATTATGCTTAAAATATCCACACACAAGTGTCTAAATTACTCTTGTAAAAAGTAAGTGTAAAAATTTCTTCTAAAGAAGAAGCAAGTTTTACAAAGATGATTTATGATAAGCATCGTCTAAACCAATGCAAAACTTAAAGATAAGTTCTTAAAGCTTGAAATTAACATGTCTATCCTTGATGAAAACAAAACATTGAATCGTAACTTTTTGTATCTGTTGATAGGGGAGCCTAACTTCTATACATATTGGTTTTTGATGATGAATAGGTTTAAATGATTAGAAAGGGTTTCAATCATTATTGCAAACAAAATGACATAACAAATGTTTAAATCATTAACATGTTAATGCTAGATGTTTTAATCTATTCATGGTTAGTGAAATAAGCCTAAAACATATTGAAAAGCTAGTTTCAGGTAATAATAATCGATTACATAAGAGATATCATCCATTAGATTAAGCCAGAGCACTTAGAAAGCTAAATAGGAGAAAATCACTCTGTTATAATTGATTATATAAGTTACATAATCGATTAAAACAAAGAGAAAGACATAATTTGTTATATAAGTAACATATTTTGTTAAGAAAGACAAATGGATGACTAATTAGGCTAAGCGGAAATATAATCGATTATATAAGTTCTATAATCAATTAAAACAGAAAGTAAGGTCTAATCCATTATACAGATAACCTAATCTGTTAGGTTAGTTGAAACAGGCAGTTATAGACATATATGTTGAAATAATCGATTATACATGTGTAATAATATGTTAAGACAAAGACAAAAACATAATAGATTATGCTAATAACGTAATCGATTAATTTGTGCCAGGATTTGATTTTTCTATATAAACCATATGTGAGACCTGTTTCATTAATGTTTTAATTTTCAAATACTAACATACTTTCTAAGTTTTGAGTACAAGGTCTCTCAAGTAGAGTTCTTGGAGGATTTCATGCTTCATTGGTGATCAAACATTCAAAGACTCATTCAAGATCAAGTGGACTTCACTGTTGTTGATATATCTACACTAGAAGAATGTGTTATGATCAATGTATCATTCTTTCTACATTGTGTAGCACCTGTGCGAGTAGGTCAGGTTAGAGATTGAGGGTTTTCATCTCTTGTATTGAGTGAGAGTGAGTGTTTTCATCTCTTATTTGTGTTGTAATATGATTTGAGGGTGGTGAGGATAACAATTGAGAGTTTCATTGTATTCTCAACTCAAATTTGATTTAGTGGAAAGTCTTTCAACTCAGGTTGTTGGGAGAAAATTGGATGTAGGCTTGTGATAAGTTGAACCAATATAAATCTTGGCGTTCTTTTACCTTTCTTTTATATTTCTTTACTTAGTTGATTCATTTAATCTTTGGGTATTGATTTCAAGTTTTAAGAATTCTTTAAATATTTGAAAAAGATTTTCGAAAAAGTTTTAAATCCAATTCTCCCCCTCTTGGATTGAGATATAATCTTGGATTGAGATATAAGACCTTTTATTTCTAACAATATCCAATCAATGTTAAGAGAAAAAGAGCTAAAGTGAGTATACTGTCTAATGAACATAAGCTCTAAACAATAAGACATAGTTTTAATCATGTCATTAATGAGAACGTCTTTCAGAAGAAACAATCTAATGAAAAGCATACCCAATATTATACTTCAAGAATGCTTTCATTAACAAGTATCTAACACTCAACATAATCTGTCAATATTTGAACGTTATACTAAGCAAGATGCATTTATTAGAAGAGAATACAAGAACGAGTCTCCATCGACAATACCATGTGCAAAAGATAAGAGGTTACTCCAACTTTCATTCCCACGTAACTATTTCACCACATAGATATTCTAGAAACAACAAATCATTCAATAAGTTCTTTAATGCCCATACTAAATTCACCTAATATAGACAACATGGATAATCTTCATCCTCCTGTTTTTCGTGTAATATGTCATTCTTTTTACTTTCGCTAATTCTTAGTCCTTAAAAGCCTACTTTCTTTCTCACGTATTATTCTCTTTTCTTGTGCTGGAATTTCCTTTGTATCTGCTCATGGACACTGATGACATGTCATACAAGACATTTTATAATGTGCAAGAATCTCCTTCATTAGGTGACCCTCATAGTGCTTGGACATTGATTGAAGAGTCCTGTAATTTTATGTTATTTTCATTAAATTCTTGATTTGATCTTTTAACAGTTGATCGTTTTCTATAGCTTCATCTCCTAGTGCTAATGTAAGCTTATTAGAAGAGAATACAAAAGTGAGTCTCCATCGACAATACCGTGTGCAAGAGATCAGAGGGCACTCCAACTTTCATTCCCACGTAGGTGTTTCACTGTATAGAGTTCCAAAAACAAAAAATTATTCAAGAAGTTCTTTAATGCCCATACAAAATGCACCTAATAGAGACAACATGGATAATCTTCATCCTCTTGCGTTTCATGTAATATATCATTCTTTTTACTTTTGGTAATTCTGAGTACTTAAAAGCCTACTTTCTTTCTCACGTATTATTCTCTTTTCTTATGTAGAAATTTCCTTTGTATATGCTCATGGACACTAATGACATGTCATACGAGACAATCTATAATGTGTGGGAATCTCCTTCATTAGGTGACCCTCACAGTGATATGAGCTTGGACATTGATGACATGTCATATGAGGCAAGTATACTATATATATAGTCTGATGTGTTTTTTCTATGAATACTAAAACCTTAATGACTAGAAAAACTTTAAATTGATAACTGTTTAAAATTGGACAACAAAAGCTTCTTGAGGTAAGTGAATGGATCGATGACAACTCAGAAAGGGGTTTGTTAGAAGACGTTATTGCAAAACAAATGCAGACAAAAAGTTGTCTACTACCTAAGAACTTGGAGGATCAGAACACTTATATTTGCATGATATGTCAGCTATGAAATATAGCAACATGTATATTTTATATTTTATAGGGTACAAGTTTATTTGTTCTTTTTATATACTAGATTGTGGTTATTCATTAAAATTTGATATATAAAAAATATGTTTTACTCTTTCTCATATTAATTGGAATGCTTGTGCATGATTTCACATAATAAATATAAGAATAAAGAGAATATTGGAATTCTTCAATGCGAACATGAATACCATGCAAAGTGTATAAAAGATGATTACATGAAAAAAATGTTTATTCCTTGTGAAAATAATAAACATTAATATTGGATAGAAGCAAAAATTAAACTACATAATTCATTATTTGAGTGATTTCATATTTTGTATTGGATCAAGTAATATATATTCATTGTTTACGTTTCTCATGAATTAGTAAACATAGTTACATTCTCAAATTAGATAATAGAATAATACATTTAATGTCTTATTTTCAAGTAATCATTTTCAATAAGAAACTACATAGAATTATTATTATTATTATTATTATTATATATAATTTTATCATTTAAGATATAATCATTTAAAATTAAAAGAATTTTATTTTCAAATTAGATATTATCATTTATAAATTAAAATAATTATGTTATCATTTTATTTTTTTAATAATTATTTTTTAAATTCAAATAATTGTTTATAATAAAAAAATATGTAATAATAAAAATATATACAATTTATTTATTATTATAATTATTTTTAATAAAATATATTTTTATAAGATAATAAAATTTTGTTAGAATAAAAAATATGAAACAAGTGCTTATAGATGTTTCGATTAATTTTAATAAAGAAAGTTCTATGTATTTATTTAAGAATGTCAAAATATTATTTTTTAAAAGGTTTTGAAGTGCAGATTGGGAAGCTGTTTAAAAGTTGTATAGTTTGAACCCCTCATCGCCTCCTTCCTTCTTTTCGCCGCGCCGACTCATTCTCTCCTCCGTTTCACTCTTCCGCCGCCGTGGCAGTGACACGACCTCGTGCAACTCCTCTTTTTCTCAAGGTTCTTTCTCTCTCCCTCTATATTCTTCACTATTGGAATTGAATGTAATGCTACTCTATAACTGATTAGAGTCTCTCTGTTTTGGTTTTACTCACTGTTGTGTATTGTTTATGTTCGATCCCTAAAGAAAGAATGCAAAACACGAGGAAACAGCTGTATGTGTTATTTGAATTAATATCATTGTTTTAATCAAGACCTATTCCTTTGTCTTAGGATTCTCTTCGCCATGTATTGTCTAAACTTTGTGTTTTTAGATTGTTTATTCTTTACATTTGTTTGGATTGTCTAACCTTTGAATTTTTAGATAGGAAAATATCTCTTTAACAATTTGTTTGTTAAAATATAACGATGTTTTAGATAATGTACCCCTCATGTTTATCATCCTCTAACCTTTCTGTTCTAAAAAATATCTATTATTTATTTCCTTAACCTCTAAATTTTTTTTAATATCAAATATATTTATTAAACTAGAAAACACACAAACAAACACCATCCTTGCACGAGTTTAAATACTAATTATGGTAAAAGTTAACTTTTTATTTTCTCAACCATTTTTATAATAAAAAAAGTGAATAAATATGTGCATGACATGTGTTTCCAATATTAATAATAATAATTCTAGGGTTCATGACAATCTAATCTTTTTATTTTCTCCTTATCTCTATTTCTAACAATCTAATCTTTTAAAAAAAATAAAAATAATATACTAAAAAATATTCTAGAAGATCTTAAAAATATTTTCTCTAATTAAAAGATTATACAGATATTTTCTCTAATTAAAAAGATTATATAGATATTTCTTTTAATCACAACACTTTCTATCCTCTTTATTCCCTCAGTGTAATGCTCAATCAATTTCACTTTTTGCATGTGCCAATCTAGCAATTTGTTCTGCTTTCGAGTTAATTTGTTAAACCAGTTTTCGATTTCTTCTTGCAGAGCTTCCTCCTCCACTTGTATCTGCAGGCTCTGTCATTGTTTAGGTGGTCCTTACAGGTTCGTCCTTATGAATGCTTCTTATGTATCGTGTATACTTGATCCATAGTTTGCGGATTAACCATAATATTTTTGGTTCATTCACAGGGTGAGTATTTAGTACAATGAAGGTAAAGAAGGCTAAAAGAGATCTGCATACTGGGGAAAAGAAGAAGAAAAGGAACAGGGAACGAAAAGATGAAGTTGAGATTCAAGCTACTGTGGAGGATGTTGAAGGTAACTGTGCTTTGTTTTCATAATCATCACCCTTTTGTTTGGCGGTCTCTGATGTAAAGTGTTTGTTTCAGTGGATAATGAAATACATGTTAGTGACACAAAGAAGGAGAAGGCTTCTATCAACAGAAAAAGGAAGAACAACGATAAAAGTCTAGTTAGGAAACGAAAACCAAAGGGTGAAGAAGTTGATTTGGAAGAGCAAAGCGGTGAGTTGAAGTTATATGGAGTGTAGGATAGTGTCATAGTTTAAACTAGAATATATATATATATATATATTATATATATATATATATATGTATATATACATGTATATATACATGTATATATACATATATATATATATATACATGTATATATACATGTATATATATATACATGTATATATACATGTATATATATATATACATGTATATATACATATATATATTTTCAATTGTTGTAGAGCAATTGCTCATACTTGTCTAATACTATACTGTGTTAATTTTTATTTGCTGGCATTGTCTCTCCCTGTTCTGGCATTTAGTATAGACATCTTTTTATAAAAAAATACTTTAACTATGTCGTCCTGATCGTGTTCAACATATTTGGTTAAATGGTTACAGATGAAGTAGTAGACAATTGTCATTCTAGTGCTGAGGAGATCCAAGACTTTGGTGGTGATAGATATTTGAATACTGGAGCACTTATCACACCCTGTAAGAAAATACATTTTCTAGTTTAATTCGTTTTGCAATTTGGAATGTAATATTTGAATTTATGATTCGGTTTCCCTCATGACAATTTTTATCATGTAGGTAGTTCGAAGAAAGATAAGAAAAAAACAAAAAAGGATGATAGAAATTCACAGGATAAGGGAGAAGGGTACAACAATCACAAGGAAGTTTATACTATTTCCTTCGTAGATGATGACTGCTCAAAAGGAATGAAAAGTATGAATTGCTAATATTAAGCGCATTTATTTTTGTTTGATTTAAAACTCCAAACATTAGACATCCATAACTTTTACTTGTGTTATACATGAGATGATGGACATATAATTTTGTAATGCAAAAAATTGTATCATAGTTACTGCACGGTGTTGCAAGTCTATTTGAATGTATTTTGCTCAATTTGGAATAGTAATTGCCATATTTCAGGATTTTTATGTTAGTTTTCATCTGTATATCTCTCATCTTTTGCCATCATCCACCACTACTATCGTATATGTTTGAACATTTATAGATATCTTTCTTTCAATCTGTTGACAGAATGGATTGTGATGCACCTTTGTATTCTGTCCATATTTGTCACCAATTTACTAATAATAGTTTCTGAATGGGAACTTCTGAAACTACAGAATGGATCATGGAATACCATCAAAGCAGACCAAGATTGGAAGTATTGCAGCATCAAATTGATGACTTTATAATTGCTCATGAAGAAAAACTGGAAGAGGTAATTATTTTGACAAAAATGCACGTAATGGATAACAGAACAATTAGACGCACTTGTCATATTAAGCACTGGTTCATAAGATGGACTTTTTTCTTCAGGCAAATTATTATTGGCACGTATCAATTTTGATGCTCATGTTACATAACACCATTACTTAAAAATTAGGTTAATTTTTACTGTTTTGTGGCTAAATGTAAGTGCCAGTGACTAATTCTCCATTTTATCATATAAGCTTCTTTTTGAATTCCATAAATGTTTAAGCTTTTATTTTTCATATTGTACGAATGATCCCACATTTTTTTGTCTTTATTTTTGTTATACATGTAATGATTTATTTATCATTGCAGGAAAGAAAAGAAAAAGAAGCCATTGCTGCAGAAGGGGGGTGGACAGTTGTTGTCCACCATAAAGGTAGAAAGAAAACTACTGATTCTGAAACTGGAATTGCAGTGGGTTCGGTTGCTCAAGCAGCCGTGGAGAACAAAATGACCAAAAAGAAACGTAAAGAAGTTGGTCTAGATTTCTACCGATTTCAAAAAAGAGAAGCACAGAGAAATGGTATGATATTTTTTTTTTTGAAATTGATCTAAAAGTTGTTCTGTTTATGTCAAACAAATGTCATTAATTAGGGAGTTTTCTATCAAAGTTTGGATGAAAAAAAATTTAGAAGCTGAGTCATCTGCTCTTTTGTTTCTAATGAATTTCTTAATGTGTAAGTAAAAAAAACCGTAATGTTTTTCCATTTCTATTCCCATACTTGATTATTTATTTAACTTTCCATAACTTCTATTGTGCTGAAGATCCACAGCCCATCTTATCAGTAAATTAAAGTTTATACATGAAAACACTAGCAAATTCTGGATGGTACTTGAAATGAATGTCTATTGTTGTGGTTGTACTCCCTCAAAGAATGATTTGATTTTATGTTGAAGTCTCATGCTTTATATCATCCATGTATTGTATCATTCATAACTGCTTGTGTTCAAGATTTTAAACCCGTTTTGCTGCCAAGTAAAGATTTTATTCACAAATGACTGTAAGGAAAAGAATATTTCTGTACATTCATGAAATAGATCTCATGTTGCTATTGGTTGGAACTGCTCAAGGAATTATATGATTTTATGTATATATATCATGCTTTATATCTCATTTTTTTTCTTAGCTCAAGTTGTTGGAAATCAAAACCTAGTAACTCTTTGAATCGATTTTGATTAGATTTTTGTTATTGTTGGTGATCAAAGTGAGATAAACCCTTTTTATTTTGTTTGCAGAAATCATGACACTGCAGAGCAAATTTGAGGAGGATAAAAAACGTCTGCAGCAGATGAGAGCTGCCAGAAAATTTAGGCCTTATTAATCAATGTTTTTAGCACAGTACAAGTCAAATTAAGAAAAAGAAAGAGTTCATTTATCTTTCCAATTTTGCCGAAGGTATTTGTACATTAATGTAGGTAGTCGTTATTTTATTTCTTGTAACATGACTTTGCAGGGTTTAATGTAGGTAATAGTACATTAAGACAATGTTTTGATGTTATACTTCATATTGTCTTGTTCAATTATGTATTCTGCTATTTTTTTGGCTCTCCTAAAATTATATTATGTGCTTGTCTGAGGAGTTGTATATTGTCAACATCTCTTTGGAGTTTTTGTATTGATTGACATTGTAAGAGGAAGCACCCTTGAGGAAGTTGGTTCATGAATCTTATTTTGCGTTTTTTTTCTCCTATATTTTTGTATAAGAGTTGAGACAATCCAATTATCTTTCTTTAATTATATTTGTTATTTTTTCCATAAAAAGAAAAAAAGAACGAGAATAAGGATACCTCACTTAACAATTATAAATTAAATAAAATAGATAAGATGATAATTGTCTCGTTCTCTTACCAGGAGTACGTAGAGAATTCAAATTTCTACTTTTATAGTATTTTTTTATTCTCAGATTATACCTCCTTTTCTCTTCATTGCTGTATTTTCTTTGTGAGGAAATGTAAATTAATACTTCTATTTATACCAAATTTTACAATTATTACTTCTATAATATTTTCATTTTTAATATTTTCTTTATCTCTTACTCTCATCTTTGACTTAGAGAGAGAATAATATTTTCGATTTCAATATCAATGTAAGCTTTTGAATTAAATTTTTAAGTTGTGTCTATAAAGAAAAAATGTCATATTAATAGTAAAGAAATTGAATATCAAATTCAATATATATTTACATATTCAATGCGATAAAGGATGCAACTCTTTGAGTGGATGTGAAAATAGAGAAAAATATATATATATATATAATGGTTAAGAAGTGGACTTTAAATTTAACTCAACCTCACAAAATCAGCTTGTAAAGTGAAGTTTGCATTCTGCCATTACACCTTTCGTTGTTGGCAACGACGCTATCTCTTGTTGCCGGCGGTGTCATCGTCTATCGCTACCACTACCAGAGTTTTAGTTTCGAAGATTTTGATCGTCTCAGCCAGACGACCACCATGTCATCAATGACGCCTAGCTCCTACGCGCTCTCAGTGCCTTTTGAAGTTGTGAATTTGTTCCTTTTTTTGTCGTGCATGGTGACATGTTTAGTAGCAATTCAGAACGTTGAGGTTGCTCGTTTTTCTCTTTCAAGTTCATCATGCGTTGTTGTACATCCCGTCTCCTTTTAGGCAGCTATTTAGAGCATCAAGGTTACTATTTTTCTTTTTTCTTCTCAAACTGTTGTTCAACTCTTTTTTCAGCTTATGCTTTCATACTCCTCTCAAACTGGGCCCGAGCTTTCGTTGGGCTTGATAGGAGCATCTTCCAGGACTCCAAGTCTTGATTCTATGTACCTACATCGTCGAGAATATAAAAAGTACAAACACATTTTACCTGCGAGGGACACTGGGATGATGACATCTACATTTCCAGTGTTGTGGCCATCGTAAAGAAGGAGGACAATGCTTTTAGGACCTTTAGGAATCTTCCAGTTCTGGTGGTTGAGGAGATGGTTCTCCATTCTTTAGGCTAATCAAGACTCCTGAAGGTTAGTTTGGGTGTAAAAGACTCTCCAATGCTTAATTAATAAGGGAATTAAAATATTTTAAAATAAAATAAGAATTATTCTTTATCAAATGAATATTTTTAATTGTATTTATATGATCAACATATACAATAAATCTATATTTCTACTAGAATAATATTTACTTTATAAATATGATATCAACGTGATAATAAATAGTAATAGAATTATAAATAATAAACATAGTTAATTATAATATATAAATATAATCAAGTGTGAAAAATATAAAGAAAAATATTTGTAAATGAATTAAATTTTCTTCATATATATATATTTAATTAAATAAAAATAATATTTTTTCTTCATATAAGTTAGTGTCCAAAATAAAATAATATTTGTGAACGAATTATGTAATTTTTTTATAAAAGTAAATAGAAAAACATATTCGTAACTCACGGGATAATTTTTTTTAGAATTTGTTTTGAAACAAAAAAATTAAGTTTCTTTCACCTAATGAATGTATATCCATTACATAACGAAAATAAAACCCTTTCCATATAAAATTATTGTCTAAAATCAATAAGGATTAATATTTTTCACCGATTACGAAGAGATATTTAAAATCTATAAATAAGATAAATAGTTTGTCTGAAAACTCCTTTAACTTAAATTATTTAAGAAGAATTATAATTGAAATTTTTAATCATTGCCATAACAATCTTGATTCAAATTTTTTTGTCCTCTTCGATTTAACAAATTTTCAGAATCCCTATTGAAGTCTTGCAAAAAGCATTGTGAGAGAGTTCGTCGGTTGCCCGTCATTGCTTCGCTGTCGTTTTGCCGGCCAAAACACGACAATTGTTGCCGTTTCACTATCTGCTTTGGACATTCTTTTCTTCTCTCTCAGTTTGATTTGATAATTCACGATGAACGATCTTCTCACTGTAAGCTGATATCCACAATTCCCACTTTCGATTCCAAAATTCGATTTTGATCACTGGGTCTTGCAGTTCTGTTGCTAAACTTATTGCCTTTCTGTTTTAATTTTCTGCCATCTCAGTGTCAGATTCGTACTCTGTTTTATTTTATTTTAAGAAAAAATGACATTAAGAGGTGCCCAAATTTTTGACTTGGATTCTAGTGTGAATGCGAATAGGAATCAACGTGTTCTGATATTCTAAGCAGTAAAATTCAGTTCATAGCTGAATCACTATATGGGTAGTGGAAAATTTCCTAAAGGCGGTGTATTGCTTTAACACAGATCATGGTTAATCCCCAATTAGATTTCTGGTGTTTTTGTTTTGTTTTGTTACTACATGGGTTATGTTTAGTACAATGTTGTTGTGTTGTAAGATCAAAGTCTATGAATAGTTTGTTTTTCCTTTTACTATTATCATTGTTATTTGACATTCTTTCTTGCAGGATTCATTTGTTGGTGAGGCTGGTAATGGCCAGCCTTCTAGAGAAAGTGACATTGAAATGGGACATGCTCCGAGAAGCAACTCTGATATGGGAATGGAAGCTTTTAATAAGCAGGTACACAATGTGCACGCTTTTTAAAATTTTAAAGCATTTGACTATTTAAGATGCAAATTTATGAACTGAGATGTTGTAGGGTTTTTTATTATGCTGTTTCCATAGTCAACTTTTTCTTCATGTGGTTTGTTCAATAATACAGTTAATATCCGACATGTACTGATATTCTTTGTTTTGATATTAGATCCATGAGGTTGATAAACAGATCGATAAGCTGGCGGTGCTGCTTCAAAAGCTAAAGGTATCCATTATCTTCATAGTTTGTTACTTTCCAGCAGCAAGATCTCATTTATAAACTAAGAGTACTTTTTCCAGGAAGCTAATGAGGAATCGAAAGCTGTTACAAAAGCATCTGCCATGAAAGGTTTTTGTTACAATGCAATTTTATTTTTTTGGTTACACCAAGTGCAATGTTTTGTTTTTTAATTGACATCATCCATTTTTTTAGTTCAGTTATAATATTTATGGGATAGGTGCTGACAATGTATTAGGTTGAGTGTGTCATGGCTTGAGACATGACATTTTTTTTAATATACTGCATTTTACTAACATTAAATGTGAGTAAAATTTGATACTCTTTACAACAATGAATCAAATCTATTACTAAAGCATGTGCCATTAAACGTGTGTTAGGATGCAATGTTATGCTTTAATTGAACCATCCAATTTTGAATTTCCTAGTAAGATTTTCTGGTATTGGAGCTGAAATTGTATTAACTTGGGTTTGTCAGGCTGCTATAGCCAGAGAGACACATGGTAAATTGCCTTTCTAGCAACGATGGCAAGTTACATCAATATTTATGCTTCAATTTTTTTTTTTGATAGACTGCTTTTGTTCCTTACAATGCACGCGAACAATAAACCTGTAGCATTACTTTAGGTATTGTTTATAAGACTAATAAACCTATAACATTAATTTCAGGTATCAAGAAGAGGATGGAGAAAGATATTGATGAAGTTGGAAAGATTGCTCATGGTGTCAAAACAAAGATAGAGGCTATAAACAAAGATGTATTGAGCTATTTGGCTTAAAATTGTTATTATTAGGTGTCAATTTATTGTAAAATTTTCAGACAAGTATGAAAATTATTTGTTCAGGACTTGTTTTTTTCAGAATCTATCCAATAGACAAAAGCCCGGCTGTGAGAAGGGAACAGGTATAGACAGAGCAAGGATGAATATGACAAAGTAAGTTGGTTGTACACATCTTTATTATTGTACTTGATAAAGAGGACCCGGAAAACTAAATTATTTACTTCTCCTTGAAACCACAGTTCCTTGACTAAAAAGTTCAAGGATCTCATGACAGAGTTCCAGGTATATTTAGTTTTTAACACCTAACACCAGAAGCTGTTTCCCAACTTCATGTCTGTCTTCTCATCAATGTGTTGTGCTTCAGACTCTTAGACAAAGAATACAAGATGAATATCGTGAGGTTGTGGAGTGAAGAGTTATAACAGGTTTGAACATTTCATCCCTGTGGTACACTATGGCAGTACAATTGCTTTATTTATTATTTTAAACTTATATGTTAGAAAGTGTTTAATCATCTTAACTTTGTGACACTCTGTGATTACTTGATTTGATTTACAGTTACTGGAACTAGGCCAGATGATGAGGTGAGCTTAACTCATGAACTTGTGATTTGAGATGAGATGAGATATTCACTGCATATAAATTTTGTTGTAATTGGCCATCATTGACTGTGATAGACAATTGATCACCTGATAGAAACTGGAAACAGTGAGCAAATCTTCCAGAGAGCAATTCTAGAAGCAGGCAGAGGACAGGTACCTGGTTTGTGAATTTTTACTGGAATTTGTCTTTTCCTTTTGAAAAGTTCAACACATTATGTTATCTTTTCTGTCTTTCTCTTTTCTTGGAAAAAGTGGGTTTAGTTAATACCTTAAGAAAACGGCTTAGTCAAAAATTAATTCATGATCGATACATTTTCTTCATTATCTTTCTGTTTACATCAACTTTATGCAGTAA